AAAAAAAAAAAAAAAAGTTGTCAGAATCAGAACTAGAGTCACTCATAGTGACCCTAACAACAACAACAGCAAATAGACCCAAGAGATTATGAAGGAAGATTCTTACACGTGATTGCCTGGTCGTATCTGTCACAAAGACTCTGCAAGACCACAACATTACAGAGGCCAACTCCGCATGATACAAAAAGTATTTCTACAAAGACATCTGCCCAGCAACTGCTCAATCTTGGACTGACACCATTTGTTATTAATCACTGTGGCCAAGCATTGTTTCAAAAATATCTGATATAAGTCAGGCATGCTGGCACATGCCTGTAATCTCAATGCTCTGGGAGGCTGAGGCAGGAAGATTTCAAGTTTGAGCCCAGCCTGGGCAACTTAGCAATTTAGGGAGAACTTGTCTTACAAGTAAAAAAAATTTTTAAAAGAGGTTGGAAATGTAGCTCAGTGTGAAGACCCTGGGTTCAATCCCCAGTCCCTTCAAATAACTTGGTGAAATCTTTTTCCCAAGCTGGGAAGCTCTAGGTGCTCTGTTAATATTTCTCCTCCTTTCAGCAGGGTTTACTCAGAAAAAGGATGAAACATAGAGAAACAAATATACTCACCTCTCCACAAGGAACCACAAGCAATTTGGCTTTTCATAATATTGAGCTTAGTATAGAGGATTGAGCCTAACAGATCAAACTAAGTCTCCATGATGCAAAGGCTATTTTTAAATTCAGAATTCTTAGCATTTCCTGACCTTGTTGGGGAGTAACTATTCCTATTATTTTATTTATTTACTGCAGAACTGGGGATCAAACTCAGGACCTTGTGCTTGCCAGGTAAATTTTAAAGACATATTTAGCATTAAGTTCCTTCACAAATATGGGAGAAGGCATGTGAAAACCTACTATTTTGTGCTTTATGAATAACAAAAAAAAGAAGTGTTGAATTTTCCACCTCGGTGGTGCCAGGCCACCTGAGAGGGCTTCCAGTTAGCCACCCAGTTAGCTATCCTGCCCTTGCCAAAGAGTAAGACAGAGGCTGTAGTGACTTTGTATGAGTCCTATCCTAGTAATATAATTGAACTCTCAGGAAGGTTGAAAGCTTCCACCCTAACCTCCCAATTTTTGCCCTCCAGTGGAAATAATGTGCATTTGTGCCAAGCTCACCAGCAGGCCTGTAATGGGGATGTTAAAATCCACAGTGACATCATCGTTTTTTTATCTTCAGTTTTTGTTTTTGTTTCGGTACCCGTAATCAAACTCAGGACCTTGCATTTGCCAGGCAGGTATGGCGCCACTGAGCTAAATCCCTGTCCCTTTCTTCAGTTTTCTGACGCAGTGTCTCGCTATGCAGTTCAGGTTGGCCTTTAACTCACTATGTAGCTCAGGCTGGTCTTGAACTTGCTGTGATCCTCCTGCCTCAGCCTCCCAAGTGCTGGGATTAAGCCAAACATGGTGGCACATGCCTATAATCCCCCACCTCCCAACCAAAACCAAACAAATCAAGTGCTGGGATACAGCATTCTAGGAGAGATGGTTGATCCAGCTAAAAACGTGTGCCAAATTCTAATGACAGCAGAATAGTCTGATGCCCAGGGGCTGCTGCCAGAGAAAGAGCAGCACTCCAGAAATCACAGGTACAAGCTGGTGGACTGATACAATACAGGAGTTGACACCATCAAAGCAGAGCATGCTTTAGTAGCATGCATTCTGGGAGGAGGAGAAACTAGATGAACAAAAAAGTCCCCTGCTTCCGGTCCCCAATTTTATCTTGTACTGTCACTGACAGTCACAATCACCCAACGATGCTATTAGTCCCAGCACCCACAAAACTTGTGTAGTGATAAAGGCTGTTGGTCAGATCAGCACGGCTCCCACACCCGGGTCCAGCTGGGTACAATCTAACACACTCAGTTCCACCCTGCAGAATATGATGCCCTCGCCTTTCAACATCCATCCACGAGCTCCTCTACTCACCTGATTACCAAAGACAGCCACGGAGCAGGCTGTTGAAACTTCATCTGCCCCGAACCAGACCGAAGCAATGTGGGAGGGCATGCCCAGGATGAAGACCTGGGCCATGGAGCAGATGACCTGGCCCAGCACGGTGACCGGGAAGAGGTGGGGCTTCAGGCTGCCCAGCTTCACCCAGGCCCCCAGGCAGTTGAGAGCGGAGCCGGTGAGAGCGATGGTTCGCAGACCGTACTTCTCCAGCAGCCAGGCAACGGGCAGGAGCAGAGGGATGTAGGTCACCATGTAGCACATGGACAGCCAGTCGATGGCGAAGGAACTGACCCCGTAGAAGCTCATGAAGATGTTATTAATGGAGCCATACTGGATCCACTGGAAGGCGTTGCACATGGAGTAGCAGCTAAACACCAGGAGCACTGCCCAACGCCACCTGCTCACTTTGATCACGCTGAGGTCCTCCGGCCCCGAGCTACTGGGTTGGACCAAAGTACTGGGGTGGGCCAAGGTACTGGGATGGGCCGAGCTGCTAGGGTAGACGGAGACGCTAGGGTGGATGGAGATGCTGGGGTCCCCCTGGACCAAGTCGCAGGGCTGCACCGGGGTGTCATCGCACTCCTCCTGGCTGGGACCTTCATTCACCATGACCACCGCCGCTCCTGGGCAGTCTGAAGGGCCTTGGGCTGGTCCTCTAGAGGGATGGGGCACTCACCAAGCAGCGCAACCCAGCCCCAGAGGATCCGGAGACCCAAAGATGAGTAAAAGCAGCCACTGGCGCCCCGGCGCCCACCCTCAAACGCCTGCTCTCACTTTTCCGGAGGACCTCTGTCCTCACCGGCTGCAGCCGCTGTCCCCAGGCCGGCCGCAGATGCCTCAGCCGGCTCTGGGCTGTTCCTGCCTTGGGTAGGCGCTCTCCGTCCTGCACAGACTTCGCTCTCTTTCGCCACCACTTCGTAGCCCCGTCCACTCCGGGGCCGCCTCGGGCCTCGCCCCTCGGGGGCACGTGACCGCCCCGCCCCGCCCGGCCTCCCCGCCCCGCGTCCTCCCACCCGGTGTCCCCCGCCTTCTCGAGCGCTGCTGGCCCGGCAGCGCAGTTGTTTCGCCACAGTTTGCGGGGTGCATTCCTCCCCCACGCCCTGGGCGCCATGGAAACCGCCCTGTAAACTCGGGCAGCGGCACTGACCTTTAAATTCATTTGCTACCGGCCGAAGAGCGATCCCCTTGCGCCCTTCCAAGTTGCGGGTCCTCAGCGCGGTCCGCTGCCCCGACAGCGCGCAGAGATCCGGCGACCCTAAGGGCTCTGGAGAATCCGAAACGGATTCCCGACTCTGGGCCGGGCTCCCAACTTTGCTGAGCTTTCAGTGTGAAGGGGAGTTTGTGGGGTTCCCGTCTGGTTGCAAGCCTGAGTTAAAGGAAGATGTAGAAAACTCGCGCTTCTGGAGGCTGTGCCTGTGGACGTGGGTTTATCTTGGAGAACTCATTTGTGAACTTGAGTAGTGCTGTTATTTCTTGATGGGTTCATTTGGCTTCCAAGGTGGGACCCGAGGGTGGCGAGGCCTGAGAGCGGCCGGAGGCTGTCGCGCGGGTCTGGCACTGGGCCTTCCCGGGAAGTGGTCTCTTCACCAACGTAGGGCCGGGCCGCCACCTGCCGCTCTCAGCAGGTTCCAGAGGGTGAACTTCAGCTGGTTCCAGCCACAAAGCCAGGCCTGCAGGGCTGGGGTGGGGTCTGCAATTATCCCTCAGTCCTGCGGAGGAACGGTGATGTAGAGCCCAGGTTTTCCTTGGGTCCAAACTCCAGCTCAGCGACTTCTGGGTGTGTAACTGTGGATCAAGATACTCGGCCTCTGCCCCTGAGTGCCTCCAGCTATAAAGCAGGGATGATAAAATGGTAGTGCCCACTTCACAGGCATGAAGCTTGGATGGGTTAACCAGAAAGCACAGAAAATTCCTGGCAGACAGTAGGCATTCGGAGTGCTGGCTGTCCTAACTGGAAGCTGGCGTTGGTGGCACTGCGCTGCACGTGTTGAATGCATCACCTCATTGAAGCATCACAGGAATTCTGTGATGTAGTTACTATTGCTTGCCGGGGTGAGGGGTACTGGGGCTTGAACCCAGGGCCTTGTGGATTCTGAGCACAAGGTCGGACCACTGAGCTGAACTCCCATGACCTCACTATACAGATAACCTAAGTGAGGCTTTTAGAAGTGAGGTGACTTCTTACTTAGGTTCCAGCTGACCTGAAGAGCTATAATTCTTGTTCCAGTTATACTACTTCAAGCTCTAGTCCAGGCATTTGGTGGGCAGCAGCCTAGCCATCCTCTGGGAGCTTGTTAGAGGGGAAGAATCCCAGGCCCACCCCAGACCTCCTGAATGAGAAGCTGCATTCAAACAAGATAGCAAGTGATAATTTTGTTTGCATATTACAGTGGGTTCCACTGCCCAAGTGAGTAAGTTAAAACTTTGGGGCAATGGTTCTAACTTGGGTTGCACATTAGACTCATGGTAGTGGTGGTGGTGTTGGTGGAGTCTTAACCTTCCAGATGCCCAGGCCATACCTTAAAACAGAATCTCTGAGGTGGACAGGAGCAGTGCGCATTACAGCCTCTTCCTCAGCCAAGTTTGGTCACCCCTGGTGGGGTTAGAGCCACCGGTTCCCAGGAGGAGGGACTGGAATCACTAGTTGTAATGGATTCCTAGAACTCTGCTCGGAGGCAGCCATTTTTTGGTAGAAATAATAGGATCTTTGACTATAATGGAGTATTTGAAGGAAGAATTCATGCTCATCTAAGAATTTTTGCACTCATTAACCTTTCACATTTTCATAATTCCTCCAGTGTTCTTGTCCTTCTCCAGGGAATGCGAACCTCTATTCTCTTGAAGGCCTTCCTAGAACTCTGTTTCTTTCCCTAGATTACTGTGGCCTTCTCCCCAAAGTCTTCAGAATACATACTTAACTTCACTGGGACTGGTCAACATTGTTTTCTTGTGCCATCTTTCATTTTCTGTAAGTAAGATTGCTCTTGGTCTTCCATATTATTCTTTCAAAATGTGAAATAAGCTTTTGGTTTTCTCTGCTGAGTGACTTCACAATATGAAGTGTTTGGGTTCCTAATACTCTTGCCTGTTTCCTTATACAGGTACCGAAGTGAGAAGGTGACAATCAGTTATGCAGAGTATATTGCTTCTCGACAACATTGTTTCCAGAATGGCACTCTTCATGCCCTGCCCCTCTACAATCATTACTCCAGAGACAAGGCTGCATGACCAGTCCCACCCCCCTGTAGCCACCAATGGCTATGACATCATTGGAGCAGATCTCTCCTCTTCCTGGCCCAGTTACTTCTATTACTGCACCATTTTATGATGCTAGCTTCCATTGCCAAGGCTGCCTCCCACTGACTGAGGGAGTGTGGGGTTACACTGAATGAAGCAGAACTTGAGGGGCCCAAGCCTTATCTCAGCCTTTCCTCAGTATGAGGTTCCACTGGACGGGGCTTCTCCATGACTAGTGAGAATCGCTGTGTGGGTGCTGAAGACCCTGGTCTGGTGATTTGGCACGTGTGGTGGCCACACACTGGAATTAGAGTTGATGATCCATGGAGGTTTGAAAACTGAGGCTCAGAAAGAGGGGCGTGTTCCTCAGAGTCTCAGCTAGTTAGCATCAGAATGAGCTATAGAGTGAAGGGCTTCCCTTCCACATGGCCTTTCCCATGCACTCTTCTGGAGCAGCACTTAGTTTGACAACAAATCCCAAGGGTCTAGTCGGGGATTCAAGCAGTATCTGGGGCTGCTTTTGTAGTGATGCAAATCAGATCCATTGTGAGCTCTGCCTTGGGTCTCCTCAAGTTTGAAGTTCGGTTCTGCCATTACTAGCTTTGGAATGTTGGGCAAGGTACTTAATCTCCCTACATCAAATGAAGATTGGACATGCCAACTCACAGGGGTGCTGTGAGAATTACACAAGATAATGTGTATGTATTGTTTTCAAAAAAAATAATTATGTAATCTGTTGAGAAGTTTCTGTTCTACTTCTAGTCTCCTGATAGCTTTTACCATGAACAGCTGTAGAATTTGGTCCAATATTTTTCTCCAAACTAGTGACATTTCCTCTGTTAAAATGATGACTTTTGGGGGTGGATCTTCCAATGCTGAACCAACACTGCCATCCCTATAACAAAACTACTTTCTACATTCTGCCAGATCTGACTTCCAATAGTTTGTTTTGTTAAACAAATTTCTATCTATGTTCATACTTTTTTCTTCTATTATCTTTACCCAATTTTAGGATTAGCACAATGTTAAGTTCCTAAAATGAGGGGAGAAGTGTTCCTTCTTTTTTCTGCTTTAATTGTTTGATATAATTTATCAGTTAAAATGTTTATGAGCCTGCTGTTGTCATATAGGTAGGTTTTCAAGCTAGGAATATACTTTCTTTAATAGGTGCTATTCAAATTTTATATTTCCTCCAGAGTTAGTTTCATTAATTTGTCTTCCAAGGTACTTCATAGAAGTTTTCAAATTTATTTCAAAACAGATTTTTGTAATATGCTTTCTATATCCTTTTAAATTCTGTAAAATCTATGGTAATGTCTCCTAGAGCTTGATATTGTAATTTAAAAAATGTGTAACTGATACTGTGTAACAAGAAGAAAAGGTCTAAAAGAGCAGGGGAATTGGGAGGGGTAGGGGAAGGGAAAAAAAAGGAAAGGAAAAAATATAAGAGGAAAAAAATGGAAACAAGGTCTTTGCAAATAGGGAAGGGTGGAGGGGGTGAAGGGAGGACAAGGGAAGGGGAAAAAAAATAAGAACCAAGAGATTCATGTAATGGTACAAGATCCCAATGATGAATGTAACTGTATTTTATACCTAAAATGTACCAATAAAGTTAATGGGGAAAAAATAATAATTATGGTGATATTGGTGATATTCCAGTAGTAACCAGAATAGTGCTGGGTCTTGGCTGGTTCCCACCAGGGGGTAGACAGCTATATAATTATTAGGTAGATATTACATAGAAATATTCTGTATTCATCCATGGTGTTTGGGGGGAGCATTTATTGAGCTATATCTAATTCATATGTTCTATCTCCAAGTTTCTCTAGGTATACTTTGCAGGTAATTTATATATACATTTTAAATATTTCTTCCTGAAAAGGGGCTCTGGTTCTTAGTTTTATCCCCACTGACTCCCAGAAGCTGGAAGAAATCTCTGGCATTGAACTGAAGCGTTCGCTCTTGGCCTCTGCCGTATGATGCCAAAGTCTGCCCCCTGGTGGCTAATGGGAACTCCAAGCCCTAACTCAAAATGTCACACAGGGACTGCACATGTGGAAGGTACTGAGCTTGTTGACCACAACAAGAAAGTTAAATGTCCAATAAAATGATCCAAATTGAGACCCTGTATTATTCCCCCTTAAAAAATACTCACATTTGGAATTGGTAATGTTCCCTTTACTAGCTTTATATGTGTAACCTCACATGTTCATCAATGTTCTGTTTCCCTTGTCTCTCACATTTCCTACAGATTTGTATATATCTTTGTATACCCTGGAGCATTTAATGAGATAAACTGTATAGCACATGTTCTCAATATATCTCCATAGATTTGAATTGAATTACAGATCACCATGGGATTTCAGAAAACTGAGAACTAAGAGGAAATCCAACAGGCTGTAGGAGGGATAAAAAAACTCATTTCATAGAAAGTTTTCAAAAAAAGAAGGGAAAAAAAAGAGACAAATGTCATCAGAGTTATCAAGCTTGGAACCTGAAAGTCAGTGGAACAATCCCTTCTGAGGGAAGAGCATTTCCTGCCTAGAATTCTATACTCAAACTACCAAGAAATGAGTATGAAGGAAGATTCCATTTTCAGACATGCAGAGTTTCAAAAAAAAGGTAACGCCTTGGGGCGGGGATTTAGCTCAGTTGTTCCACCGTCTGCCTCACAAGCACAAAGACCCGAGTTCCATCCCAGGTACCAAAACAAACAAACAAACAAAAAGTGGTACCTCCTTATCCTCCCTTTCAGGAAATTGCTAAAGGATGTGCTCCAGCAGAACAAGAGAAGACACCTAGAAAGAATAAGATGTAAGATAGGGAAAATAAGGACTCTAATACAAAAGACGTGTTAATGAGAAGCACCAAGCTAAAGGAAAGTCCCTAAAAGCCAGGGAGCAATGTGTCAGCCACAAGAAGCAATATGTTCAGATTGAAGCTGGTCAGAGGCTTCCTGAAAGATTTATTCAAAATGACCGAATTATGTTTGAAAATGTGAAGAGAAGGTTTACACACCTAGGGGAGAAGGAAAAGTTGAAGTAGTGATAAGTGCTAGCAATAGAACCAAATAAATGGAAGAAAGGCATTAGTAACTGAAGGGGAGTTATGGAGAAAAGGGAAATAATCATAGCATACCTTAACTGACTCAATTATGCATGACACAGACACAATTATAATAATGCAAACACCAAAAGTTTGCATTATAGAGCCATTATTTTGGTTGACATAACTTTACCAGGAGGAGGGGGAATGGGAAGTGGGCACGTGTGGTTGTTTGAGATGAGGGTGGGGTCAACAGTAAACCCATTGTCTGCCATGTCGAAAAGGCTATGGCTTGTAAATGCCTAACATGGAAACAATCAGAAGTATCAATAATATTCATGTTATTTAGACATTGGAAGTAAATGCCAGGGGCCAGGGATTTAGCTCAGTGGCACTGTGCCTGCCTTGCAAGCACAAAGTCCTGAGTTTGATCCCCGGTACTGAAAAAAAAATGTGGAAGTAAATGCCAAAAGAATCATCTGACACAAGTTGAAAACAGGTGCCTCTGGGGAGACAGGAAAGGGAAATAGGCAACTGCTATTTGTGACATATAAACATTTGATCCTTTCAAATATGATAACTTAGTTATCATAATTTTTAAATGTTTAAAATTAATTAAAAATGGAGTCAAATTTAATGGAGTAAGCTACTTCACCAAGGCTGATAGGTGATGCCTAGGGATGTGGTCATCTCCATCCTAAAGATTTGATAGTGTTGGTTCTAAGATGGTATTGTGGTCAGGTTTTGCAAGGCACATAATCTCTAAGATTATTTTATAATATTCACCCAAAAGTCAAATGCAGAGGAATGCAAGAGGCCTGTCCTCGCACTAGAGACCCGAAGAATCCAGCTGAGGGACTAGATCCCACAGCCATGTCCCGCACAAGTCCAGCTGAAGGCCTAGAGCCTATGGCAATGTCTCATGTATCAGGAAGGCCCAAAGGCCAGTGGTGAAATCTAAAAAGCTGAGTCAGCAGGGTGAAGGATTTGTGCCTCCAGGATGAGGGATCTATACTGGAGCCAGAAAGCCAGCTCAAGGCAAAGATCAGAGCTCCCTTGACAAGAATAGTGGCAATTCCAAGCAACAGTGAGGACCCAAGCCCCAGTGAGGATGAGGACAGCCAAGTTCACATCAGGAAAACCAGCCATGGCAAGCTACTCTAAGAAAATCAACAGCAAATGATTTTCCCCTCCAGTTCTTTTTTTATGCCATTAGCAACAATCCTCAGGCAGGTCTTCCACACCCAGAACCATGCTGACTTGGTTCAGCTGGGCATTCCAAGTTGACCACTAGTTAATGCACCATAGATGGTCACTCACGATTCCAATCCTGGAACTTCAGAGGAGGAGGACACCTCTTCAGTTGAACTGTTGTACAGGGACACTGCCTCAGAAAAATGGGATGTGCAATCATCAGAGGTCCTAATACCTGTGCCCTAGTTTTGCTGTTGTTGTTGTTTTTTTTTTATTAACCTTTCTGTGACCTTTTTTTGCCCCTAAGATCTTTAACACTTGTAGATTCCACAGTGTCTTATCCTTTCTTCTTATAACTCAATATCTGTCTTGTCATCCAAAGAACCATGCCACAGTCTCCTGTGGAATCTATAGATGAATCCTGTGCCAGCTCCCAGTCACTGAAACTTGGAGACTGTGAACTGCCTGGAATGCTCCCTGCATTCACTCTCAGTGCCCCCTGGATATTATACTATGTCCTTACCATCTTCCCTCCTCTCCTTGTCATCACCACCAGCTTAGTTCAGACTCTCGGGCTCCTCATCTGGTCCCCCCACTGCCACCACCTCATGGTTCAGACTCCTTCTGATTCACCACCATGCTGTTTCATAGGGATTGCTGGCTTTCCCCAGGTTGCTCCCCAGGCCTCAGGTCCTCCAGAGGTGCCTCTGGCTCTCAGAAGACTCACACACCTCGGTTTAGCACACAAGGCCTTTATGACATTGCTCCAGGCACTCTCCCACTGCCACTCCCTCCCCCTTCTTGCTCCAGGCAGTTAGAGTCACCTATGGCCCCCCCAGCAGCTTTATGAACCCATCATACCATGCAGGTGCCACACCTCACAATGCAGGGCAGTGTCACCTCCTCCAGGAAGCCTTCCCAGCCACAAGTGTGAGTCACAGGCTTCTTTCTCACTGGGCATGTGCATCTGGAGGGTAGTTCTGGTCACACTCTAGCGTCAATGTTTATTCTTCAAGTCCTGCTTCCTGTGAGCTCCTTAAGTTTATGAATCATGTCCTATTCGCATTCAGGGTCCAACCTGCACTCCATGTTGGGCCCACAGAAAGACTAGGAAGGATGGATTGAGTGGACTCCTCGATCCTTTTGGTAAAGCCATCCCACCCAAATGGCTTCAGATAGACGGTCACTGCTGGAGTTTCAGATGCTCATGTTTCCTTACTTGCTTTCTTTTATTCTTTGTCTTTTCTAAGGTGCCTCCTTATGGAATTCGGGCCCCACTGCCACATGTCATCCTGGGATGGGATGGTTGGGAGGGCATTCTTGTGCCCAGGGGGAACCGGATTCCTTCCCCATGAAGGAACCTCCAGTCCAGAGAGTTTCGAAGTCTGATTTGTTGTTGTTGTTTTGAAACAGGGTCTCACTATGTAGTTCAGGCTGGCCTTGAAGTCACTATGTATCCCAGGCTGACCTCGAATTCATGGTGATCCTCCTGCCTCAGCTTCCTGAGTGCTGGGATTACAGGCATGCATCACCATGACAGACTCCAAGTCTGTCTTTAAAGGGATGTGTCCAGGGCCTGCCCAGG